TTAATATTTTTTTAAAAAAAATAAATAAATTACGTTTAATGAAAAACAAAGGTTTATATAGTTTTTTAAATATGATTAAAATTATGGAAGCTATTGAATTGTATTAATATAGACGATAGTTTCATGGTTGATAATGAAAAACGGTTGCCGGTTTCATCTGTAGAAACTGGCAGCTAAAACTTTATTTAAAATAGAAAATGAAATTTATAATTTAAAAAATAAAAGAAAATAAGAAATGAAATTTTTAATGCTAAAAATACGTGAGATGGTTTCCCACAACTGGCACTCCTCGCAGAGAGTGTGAATATGAAGATCTTTGATACTGGCGAAAGAGAGGGCAGGGTGTCGAGAAATGCATTTATTCCCCTATTCACACTCTTGATGAAGACGCATATATTTTAACAAAATTGATGTTTCGATAGATTTACATTGAATTATAATAATCTTCTTTTCATAGTTCGTGATGATATCAACACCCCAATCACCTTGTCTCACTTTAACCCCATACGATAAAATACCCTGCTCATTCAAGATCTTGGCAATGGTGAATTCAAAATCATAGCCGATCTTGTGATTTGAATTCTGGATTAATTTTTGTAAAAAAATGGTTAGCGAGAGATTCCTATTCATCTCACGTAGTGGCTGACTTCACTGAGGTGTAACTCGCAGACCAGCTCAGTTTCCATTGGAAATAGAATCCATCCTCGCATTTCCCGTGAAAAGAAATATCCCAGAATGAATTCCTTCCAATTCGAGACAGCGTAACTTCAAAATCTCATATTCACTAAATAAAAGACACAGCCATCTTACCTTTTCCAGAGTTGTTATCATTAATCAATCGTGTATAGCTAAAAATTTATTCGGTTAAAATTATAACTGAATAGCTCAATGATAATTGCTTACAAGAGTTGTGTATCTTGTGAAATTCTTTTTAATAATGTTGATGATATAGAAATTGGAATTTTGGTACAAGTAGCAGTTAATAAAATTTGTGGGACCAATTGGGCTTAAGTGGTTGGCACAGTAGAATGAATTCTGGGCGTCGTGGAATTAATTCTGGGCGTCGTGGAATTTGTGATTGCCATGATAGGATAGATTCTAGATCACAATTTTGCTCTGAATCGCCATTTAAACGTTTTGGAAAACTCATAGAGTGATGCCCAAACAAAGATTTAACAGACTTTACTATTTGCCGATCTTTGAATTGAAAAAAACATTGTTCATAAGATTGACCTTTTTCAGTAGATTCAGGTTGACCGGATGAG